CACTTCAGCGGGTGACCTGCTGACATGACAAGTAACCTGTAAATGGACTCAATTGAACGTTTTTGTAAAGTTTGGGGATCTGATTGATCTTTTTAAAAGTATGAAGATCTAATTGATTTTTTCATGAAATTACGAGGACCAAATTGACATTTTCCCCATATTTTTATCATTTAGTATTTACTTTGATAATATTCATAAACAAAAAAGGCTTTTTATCATATCATTATTGTGAGATCCATATTTGCCATTTCTATAGATCATTAATACAATTGAGAATTGATCTCTGGCTCGCCGAAGAGAGCCCATATATTAATGGGAATTTTACACAAATAGACTAAAAGGCAAAAATAATATCACTTTTTTCATTTTTGAAAGTTCCTTTCAAAAACAGGTTCAGTACGTTTTTCTTTTCACTAATAGGCCCATGCAGTTCAAACGCCCGCTCGAAGCAGCTGGAAGCTAAAGTTGCCGTACGATGCATTTCTCTTGTACGGCTCTATTCCAAATGGCCAAAAGTGGTCGTATGATGATTTTTATAAAGCAATATTAATGCAAACTTATGCATTGATAAGCTAAACTTTAAAATTGCAAAAATGATACAAGCATCATATACAACAATGTAAAGTAAAAAACGATACAAATATAATTAAAAATTTAGAAATTAAAAATTTAGAAATGATGTTAACTACAAAGTAAAAACAAAAAAAGTAAAAAAAGAAAACTCAAACAATTGTTACATTGAAAAAAAATTAAACCTAGAAAACTCATTAAAATATTATATAAAATATTATATAAAAATAAATTTAAAAATACAGAGTAAGATATAAAAGATGAAAATAAATATATGATACAGAGTATTAAAAAGTTAAAAATATTAAATATTTGATACTAAGACGTTCAAAAGTCAAAAAAATGTTAGAAGAATGTAAAAAATAAAATTAAAAAACATTTAAAAAAAATTAAAAATGGTAAAATAAAATAGATAAAATTGAAAATCAAATGAGAAATGATAGGAAAAACTAAAACTAAATATATATTAAAAAAATTGAATTATTATCAATAGTAAAAAACGTAAATAAAATTTAAGAAATACATAATTAAAAAAATAAAAGAGTTAAACATAAAAATATCACGACATACAACATAGAGAGTATAATTTTAGTTAAACTACTTACAATATTTTAGTTTTTAAAATGGTAAATTATTTTAAATAGAAAATATTTGAAAGAATTAAAAAAATGATTAAAATCTATAAAATAAAATGGAAAAAAATTAAACACGTACTAAAGCAATTGAAAAAATTTAAAAATATATATATTGTAATTTTTTTGTTTCTTTTTGTTGCCTATTGTTTCTTTTTGTTGACTATTGTTTCTTTTTTGTATTATTTCATTATGTATCATGTGGTTGGTTTATATTCATAAATCCAAATTAATCCTTTTAGGTGTTTGTATATAAATCTATTTAGCTATTTTTATTTCAAGGAAGGAGCAAATATAAATATATTTTTAAAACATTAAAAAACAAAAATCAATAATAAAACATCAATAAGAAACCCCATGCAACAATCTACGACAAAATGCAACAAAAAATCCAAATTTATCATTTTAGGTGTTTGTAATTTTGCATATAAATCTATTTAGCTATTTTTATTTCAAGGAAGGAGCAAAGATAAATAAAAATTTAAATAAACATTAAAAAAATCAATAATAAAACATCAATAAGAAACATCATGCAACAATAATCAACACATTGCAACAATGTGCAACAGAATGCAACAATCTGAAACACATACAATACAACAAAAAGAAACAAAAAACAACTTATCAAATATCACAACAAATACATAGTTCATCTTTTATTTAATTTTGAACTTATCATTTTCACTTATCCTAAGACACTATCAACTCTGCATTTGGTATTTCTCCAATTATAGGATGAAAGCTCTTAAGTAAAGCTTCCATACCTTGTGTTAGGACGTAGGAGAGATGTTGGGTACACGTTCAAAATCTATAATTAATAAAGCAACCTTGAATTAAAAAAATAGAGATCTTCTTCGCTCGTGACCAAATTACAATTTCAAATCAGTAATACGAGCCGCAAGATTTTTCCACATTCTTCATTTCCAATGCAAACCATCCCAATGCATTCCTGCCCAACAAGAGAATATGTCTGTACTTTAGTGGCAACATAAATGAGCATAAAGTTTTTAAGGAGGGAACTAAGAAATTGATCTGTTTATGTTGTATATATGTATATATCTTGGAACCATCTATAGGGAAGACAAACAATGCAAGCTGCCCAAGAAATTGCTGAAGGAAAACTAAGTGATCATTTTCTTTTGGTGATCTGACAGACTAGGAGTGGTACACAAAGTAACATGAATGCTAATGAGGTTATAAGTTATAACAAATAGAGCTGGTGAAATTCTTGGTCATAAACTAGGTGCAAAAGCTGTACACCCAAATGATCATGTGAATAGATCAAAATCTTTCAACTCCACATTTCCTATTGGGAATCCTACACATTGCAAATTCTCTCTTACGTTCTGTGATATTCCTTGGAGATGCATCTGATGCATCTGTTTGTTTTTAAAAGAGCTGCGTGAGCGGAATTCAGGCCAATAAGGAAAGGATTTCTGAATTACTACCCATCTTGGAAAGCATAACTATGGTACATACTAGGGCAGTATGAAAAGGAAAGGTGTTCATGCCTCTACAAAATTGAAACTAGATTAGAAGGATGAAAAATGAAAATCAAAATGTGACAAACCCATTTATTTGTATAAGAAACAGAATTTAGAGTATGTAATAAAGTCATAACAACGACATGCATCACAGGCTCATGAACATAAAATAGATCGCAAATTGGTTAGCAATCCACTCTTATGATCCTGGTTCCTGAAACAGAAGAAAATTTGAGCCTAAACTGTATTACACACAAATTGAGATATTATCATGTCAGCTTGAAAATGAGAGAGAAGAGAGAAAATTGTGACTGGCAGGGTAAGCATCCAGTGTCGAAGGAGCTAGAGTTGTCCGCAGGCATTCCATAGCAGATTGATATTCATCCTTATATTGCAAAATGAGTATATTAAAGTAAACCAAACAAAATAAGTACTCCCAAAGGATCTAGTGATAATAACTAGATAGCGAGTAAACCAAAGGGACGAAGCATAATACATATGCTTCAAATCACTAAGATGTGAGAAAAATTGTGATTTTTCTAATTTGAACAGGTTAAGTATGGATGCTAGAAAACCTAAAAATTCAAAACACGTTATGAATCGCTAAACACAACAGAAGAGGATCGATTATACAAAGAAGTATTGTTGGTGCATTAAATAAATTAAAAATTCAAAATTCAGAAGTATTGTTTTCTGAGATTGAAACACTTTGAGAAGCTCAATGTTCTTTGATTGATTAGGGAGAGAAAAGATGTATTCATGTGAGCATAAGCCTCCTTATATGGTTTGGTTAAAGAGAAAAAGTACAGGGGACTAATAGTTCAGCATGTCTCATCTGCTAATACTTCTTCAATGTCCTTAATAAGACATAATAGGGGTTAAGGGAGTGGTCAGGGAACCAGAAGGTTAACCTTATTAGAGATATTTAGCATCTCATTAGAAGCTCTTATCAGCTATGGTGATCACATCTCTGAATACGTTAAACAGGAAAGTGGAATTCATCCATTATTTTAAATTATATGAACAAGTAAAAACAAAGCAAAAGGTTTTAATAAAAGATTATTTGACTTAATAAATTAATGATTATAAAACAATTAAAACTATGAAAGTGTAAAATGAGTAAATTAAACAACTTCGAGTCTAAAAGGAATCAAACGAGCAAATGATACATGTAATAAAATCTGAAAATTTTAAAACACCCACAATTCTACAAACCTACTACCCCCCAAAAAAACTATGATCTGACTAGTTAAATACGTAGCAACAAACAAAAATCACAAAGGCTTAATGGACATAAATACCTTACACTTGTTGTCAGGAATGATCTCCTTGTTCCACTTTCTTAAAGAGAAGCATCAATTCTTTCCTTACACAACAATGACAACATCATACTTCAAATTAGCAGGACCACCTCCATCTTCTCCCTATCGGCTGCTTCCAGGGAGAAATAAACCTTCAGTTTGTCATTATCCTGATCCCATCAAAAGGTTGAAACTATTGCATGACTAAGTGCCGAATAGGGATGACTTTTGGCGAGGTCGAAATCGGGATTGGTACCTGCAATGAGAGAGAGAGAAAGCGTGCGACATCTTCACAATCCTATGGATCGAGCGGTTTCAGTTCATCCATCTCCAATCCGCGCGAAATCATTCAATCGGTCTGATCCGCCTATTTTCTGTGATCTTTTGAACTCTGGAACGATGGAAAATGAGATGTAGAGATATGAGTTGTGGGAGAAGAAGCAAAGTGTGGAGGAGGAGCCACGGCCATCGAGGGAAAACTAATTTAGGTTATGATTTTTTGATTGGCTTTAATTTGGGTTTAGTCTATTTTTGAAATCACAAAAATTAAAGTGAAAATTATGAAGTTTAGAATTGAAAGGTAGTTTATACACGGACATAAATGAAATGTCAGAGGCAAAAGGGCTAAGCCGGGATATTTCCACTATATTAATTAGCACTATTTTATGTGGCTTGCAATTTTTTATTAAATAATATGAACAATGCTCTTGTTGGAATAAAAAATGTAATCTCTATACTTCTTTTTTGTTATAACTACATGTTATTATATATTATATTATATACAAGTATATAAGTGTGAGTAGATAGATGCCATGGAGCCTAACTGATTAAATCATTTAGTACAACTGTTCATATATATATATATATACATTTATTCAAATAATAAATAAATAAATAAATAAATTAAACTCCCATAGGGGTCACTTGCTTGCATCATACGAAGTATGTACATATTATTTCTATATATATATGTGTACGTATAGCTAGACCAGAATTGATCGAATTGATCGATAGGAGGAATTGAAAGAAATAATGGGCGACGCAATTGGGTGCAGGGGTAGAATCCAAATCCCTGAGGGGCTGACGGCGGAGGAGTTCGCCGGGCTGGAGGCGCTGATCGGCCGCTACCACACCTTCGATGCCCTGCCCAACACCTGCACCTCTCTCATCACTCAGCACATCCCCGCGCCCGCCGCCGTCGTCTGGCGCTTCGTCCGCCGCTTCGACAACCCCCAGAAGTACAAGCATTTCATCAAGAGCTGCACCATGACCGGCGACGGCGGCGTCGGCAGCATCCGGGAGGTCACCGTCGTCTCCGGCATCCCCGCCGCCACCAGCACCGAGCGCCTCGAGATCCTCGACGACGACAAGCACGTCCTCAGCTTCCGCGTCGTCGGCGGCGAGCACCGCCTCAACAACTACCGCAGCGTCACGTCGGTCAACGAGTTCCGGCGACCCGACGGCGCCGGCGTTTACACCGTCGTCCTCGAGTCCTACATCGTCGACATTCCGGAAGGCAACACCGGAGAAGATACCCGGATGTTCACCGACACCGTCGTCAAGCTCAATCTCCAGAAGCTGGGGGCGGTGGCTGTGGCGGCCTTGCATGGCGACGACGGAGGTGCTGAATCATGAATGGTATAGTTGGGCGGTGGTATTTAATTTGTAACTCTTATATTATTATTTTATTTTTATTATTACTATTTTCGATATATTTTCTTAATTAGGAATTTCATGCTTTTCTCGGGAAAAGGAGCATAAATACGTACAACAAATAAATTGTACTGTGTATTTTATTTAATACTTCGTAGCTTCCTTGAACTTGTATACGCAGGATATATGATGGCAAATGCCTAAAATATACGGAGTACTAGTACTACACTAGATTGTGGACAAAATCCATATATATATATATATAAAAGAGAACTTTTTAAGAGCATATATATATTAATTACTACCTCCGTTCTCTTTTAGTTGCAACATTGGACTTTTTGCACTATTCACATGTTCAACTTTGACTACATTTTATTAATTGATGTATAATAAATTAAATTTTTAAAAAATATTTTTAAATTCTTCTCATTCTAAATTTTCAAAATATAAATTTTTTTAATTTTTTTACTAATAAGGAATGAAAGATATTAATGATCAAACTTGTGCGTTGGCAAACGTGAAATGTTGACTGTTGCAATTAAAAAGGAACGGAGGAAGTATTTAGTTATTTTTATACTTTTTGTTTTTATTAGCCAGATTCTATTTTTGATTGCATATTGATATGGAAACAAAAATCCGTAAAAAACCACATAATTAAGGCATTTTTTGCTCACGTGCATATTATCCCAAAGAAATCACATTATTATCAAACTAAGTTTACTTCGATTTAATCATAAAACTGAAATTTACTTCCACATAATGTGATTAAACTGAAATTGACTTACACATAATGTGATTAAACTGAAATTGATTAATCCGTAGATTAAATTAAATCTATATATTAGATTAAATTTTCTTTTCTTTTAAATCACATTATATATTATCCGAAAGAAATCAAATTTCAAATTAGCTAAATTACATACTCGTGCATCGCACGGGCTTGAAAGCTAGTATACTGGTATGACATGAATTTTAAGAGTTCCACAAAAGTGACGCAAATTAACAGTTGGGAGCAACAGATCATGGGAAAAGCCGAAAAAGTGCAAGTGTACCTTTAATACCTCGAGGTGCGAAAATATTTTTCAAGTGCAAATTTACTACGGAGTATTAAATTTATCCTTTTGGGTTTCAAATAAATAAAAGGTATATACTCCGTATTTAAAAATATCAAAAATAAATTAAACGAACACATTGAGTTTGGAGATTGAAAAATAAAAAAATTAAAAAAATTATTTTGTGTTAAATGCTCCTATTTATTATTTTTACGTCAAATTAATATTGTTAAGAAAAATGAAATATTTTAAAACTTTAACACATAATTATGTTATTGATGATGTTAGTGCAAAGTATTTTTTTATTGTAAATGGCTAATATCACGAAATCAGGCAAGTTACGTCCAGACAAAAAGTCATATCCTGATCACTAGCCATCGAATCTTATTTAGAATTTAAATTTTAAAAAGAAAACTCCACTCGTATTAATTCAAAGCATCGTTTGCCAACTGGCAGGAAATACAATCTAGATTAACTAAGTAAATTTGGCTCTCGTCCACCTTATCCAGAGCATCCCTGATAAGTTTGTGAGCTACCCTGTTGGCTGACCTTCGACAAAACTTGACTACGAATTCCGCTTGGTTAAGCAAAATGTGTTTAATATCTTCTATAACAACGTCCAAATATGAATTACCATCCTCTCATTCTATCCGTGATACTGCAAATGTTGAGTCGGTCTCAACTTTTACCCTTCGCCGACCTTGTGGGCTTGCCCGGTATAATACTGCTTTAAGCCCCAGAGCTTCTGTCATGGTTGCAGTCCACCCTTGTTTCGTCGAGAACTTGTCCCCCCCCCCCCCCCCACAAAGTTTCCCGAGTAATCACGGGCTACCAGCCCCAAGCTCTTCTTTCATCTGATATCCAGCGCAACATCCACATTGATTTTATTTCTCCCCTTGCCGGCTTCAGCCAATATTTCTCATCCTTATTGGACTCGACCTTGGATGGCTAGCCTCTTGAGCTTTCCTCCAGCCTTGCAACATTGACTCACTATCAATCAACACTTGTGCCCAGATGAAAGTGCTGTTTTCCAAACAACTTTGTTCCGGGCCTTCGATATGCTCCACAAAATAGTTATAAATCTGCACAGCTCACCATCCTGCATAATATATATGTATATATATAAACATTTTATTCAATCAATTAAATCACCCCTTGTTTATGGAAAGTTGCTCCCAGATCAGACTAGACATCAGATGTAGCTTAACACTTAGCAAAAATATGAAGTTGTTTTTTGTTAATAGCAAAAATATGAAGTTATGTCTTCACCTCCGCACTACACAACAGCAAAGTGGGTTAACCTCTACATGCCTCCTCACCAGCTTATACGTTGTGGGCAGGAATCCCGACATCACCTGCCAGAAGAAAATTTTAAATTTCGGGGGTTCCATATTTTTGTCCAGATAAGTCATCCATTCCCGAGTATCTCCCCACTAGCCATACGGTACCCACTCTTGACCCTGTAATTCCCGTTATAGTCTGGCCACCAGAAATAACCATCTGTGCCATGCCCCAATTTGAGTGGTATTGACAATATAGCTTTTCGTTCCTCTACTTAAGAGAATCCCCTCACCCTTTGCTTATTCAAGATCTTTCCATCTTTCATAGTGAAAGAAGCCACATTCATATCCGCTATTCGCGAGGAGGAGGAGAAGATATCATACCATTTCCTTCCCTCGGTAACCATTTATCCTTTCAGACGGAAATATTTTGACCATTGATTACCTTTAATTTCTTTTGACCCCCTTCTCCAGAAGCCCTTGAGATTGTCGAATGCTACTCTATATGAAAGAAGGTTGGACCACATGTCTGCTTGCAAAAATGTAGTGTTATGGAAATATTTTGCTTTAAAAAAATTCCATCTAATGAATCCGGGTTCTGTATCTCTCAAGCCTCTATATCCAAAGTCGCCCCGTGCTTTGGTTTGCACAAGTTCTGTCATCGAGTCCAACATATTCCCTTCCCAATAAAATATTGACCTCTCCACCGGTATCCATTCATAAGGGTTTCGATCTCCGAACACAAATCCTTAGGCAGAAGGAAAATGTTTATGGCATATGTTGACATGGTCTGGATCACCGTTTTCAACATAATGCCACGATCTGCCTTTGACAGAAACCTGTTATTCCAACTTTTTAATCTTGTGACAATACTCTCCTTCAGATAGCTCATTATTTCTATCTTTCGGAGAAAGGGGGTCCAGATGGATTGATAGGCCCAATAACATCCCTTTCAAAAGGGATAAAATATTCCACACCACCGATGCAGTCTCCACCGAAGGTGGGAGACTTTGCAGCACTGGAGTAATGATGATTGATGATATGACCAATCCATTCTCCAATTAGACTGATCCATTTCTTATCAAAATTCTTGAGCTTTAACGTGTACTCAATATGATCACTCCACTCTGTCATACGTCTTACTCATATCAAGTTTGAGGGCTACATACCCTTCTTTCCCACTCCTCTTATTTTTTTTAAAGTAGAGATTCAAAAGTCACCATAATATTATCTACAACTATTCTACCTGGGACGAAATCATCACTTTGGTTTTTTGAGATAAAGCCTTTAAGGAATCCTTTCAAACGGTTTGCCAGAACTTTAGAAAAAATCTTATACACAACATTACACAAGGCAATACGCCTTCAGTCACCTAGGGATTCAGGTTTATCCTCCAGAATTGAAACGGCAAGTACGAACTCTACTTCACCTATACTACGTATAAGTGTTAGTATCGAATTTATTTTGGCGCACCGTGACAAAGTGCTCGTCAATTTTCCTGACTTAGCCCTCTTGGCAGTTGTAGTACGCGGTTATGGCTACGGAGGGCTCATTATGGGGTTTTCTTTAGCTATGCCTTTAGCTCGTTTGAGTGGTTTCCTCGGGTTTGAGGGGGTCATTTCTGTGCCTTGCCCGTGGCTTATGAGGAGGGGGCTCTTGCCCTATCTTCGTGTTGAGTGGTTTCCTCTGGTGCGAGGGGATCCTTTCCGCACCTCGCCCGTGGCTTATGACAAGGGGGCTTTTGCCCTAGCCTCGTATTGAGTTGTTACCTCCTGTGCGAGGGGATCATCTTCGCGCCTCACCCGTGGATTATGACGAGGGGGATTTTGCCCTAGCCTCGTATTGAGTTTGTTACCTCCGATGCGAGGGGATCATTTCCGCGCCTTGCCTGTGGTTTATGACGAGGGGGATTTTGCCCTAGCCTCATATTGAGTTTGTTACCTCCGATGCGAGGGGATCATTTCCGCGCCTTGCCTGTTTATGACAAGGGGGTTTTTGCCCTAGCCCCGTATTGAGTTTTTTACCTCCAGTGCGAGAGGATAATTTTTGCGCCTTGCCCGTGGTTTATGATGAGGGGGCTTTTGCCCTAGCCTCGTGTTGCTTACTCGGGCCGTTGGAGTCCGGAGCAAGGAATTGGGGACTTCGTCCCGTGTTTATAGTCAATTTGGCGACTAAATTCTCAAAGCTTGTATGAATTTGACAACTTTATTGATGGCTTTAAAATGCCTGAAGTGCAAAATGTTACATATAAGCCTCCGGCGTGGTGGGTCTTTCCTTTACCATCACCTTTGGGCTTTATTGATAAAATTTTACCAATTGGTGTACATTCTATGTCTGGCACCTCTGAGCCATCGGGGTGTCTGAGCTTGTAGGTCCCCGTCTTGACGATCGCGGCGATGACATATGGCCCCTCATATTTCCGCGCGAGCTTGCCCCCTTCATTTGGTTGGCTGGCTTCCCGTCTCCTTAGTACATAGTCCCCGATTTGGAATCCCCTAGATCGTACCCTTGCATCGTGATAAGATTTCACCTGCCGTCAGTAATTCTCGACTCGGAGGTAAGCCTATTCCCTCCGCTCCGAGATCAGGTGGAGGTCAATCCTCATGTTTTCTTCATTCCCCTCAGTGTCGTAGTCGTCTGCCCTTCACATCAGTAGTATCACCTCAGTCATTGCCTTAGCTTTGAATCCGTAGCTTAGGGCAAAAGGGGTTTCTCTCGTGGTGCGCCTCGGGGTGGTCCAATATGCCCAAAGGATGTTGGCATCAACTCGTCCGCCCAGTTTACTCCTTCTGCTTCCAGCTTCTTCTTTAGGCCTTCCAATATCGTTCTGTTGGCATTCTCAACTTGTCTGTTACCCTATGGGTAGGCCACGGAGGAAAAGTTGTGTTTGATGCCCCATGCTGCCAGAAGGGTTCTGAAATGTGCGGATTCGAATTGTGTGCCATTGTCCGAGATGATTTGGGTGGGCACTC